TCATCTGGGGTGAGCTCTCTGGGTAGCCCGCATGTGTGCTCCAGGCGGGTACGGCACACGACCCAGAGCCAAAGGGTTATTCTGGGGTTATAGTCAGCAAGTGGAGAATGGCTTCAGGGAGAGAGGCACACCGGAATGAAAAACACCACAGAAGAATGGGGAACGGCTACTCTCCTCAAGGACTGGAGGAGGAATACCCTGTTAGTGCTTAGATGCAGAAATAATGCCTTTTCTGGCAGCTGCAGACTACAAAAGCCTGAACTCCCAGGTCTTTGCTTACACAATCTGCAAGGATGCCCCACGGCACACTCCACAGGGATGGCACGGTTCGGTGCAAAGTCAGTTAGCACCAGAGCTCACAGAAAAGATCCTCTGGAGATACAGACCAAGCGTATATTTGCCCATACAGAACAGAAGGTTTCCCTTCAACAGAGGTTGTTTACGTACCGCATCTTTCTCAGGGTTGCAGACTTTCACCCAAAGGATGTGATCCAGCAGCCAGTCAATGGGTTTGTCCTTATAGAACATCAGGATGAACTCCACGATCAAGCTCAGATCCAGAGACTTGAACATTTTTCCTACGGCAAAAAAAAAGAGATGAGAGAGCAGCTATGGTATGAAGCAGTCAAGAATCACAGCTGGGAAGAAAAAACTTGGGTGACTGGGCTGTGGAGGTTGGAGGTGTCCATGCCTCCACACAAAGCAAATAGCATGCAGCTCTGTTTTATGTACCAGTACTGCTGGCATTGCTAATACAGTTCCGGATTTAATATTCATCGCAGAATTAGAAAGCATTAGAGTCTCACAGGTCACAACAGTATCAAAAGGTCTAAAACTCTTCCATTCAGTAGGAAGAAATAAGGATGAAAAACATTCAGCCAGCTGCAGGACAGACCGTTTCCTGCCCTGAGAACTACACGTTTTAAGCCAGTCAAACCAGTATCCAAAATAACAGATCAAGCTGCTACTGCAACCATGTACTGCCGTTCCCAAAATAGTTCTGTGCTGATGTAAACTTCCTTTTGCACACTCTTAGGCAGCTCCAGATCCCATCCAGCCTAAAAGCTACTGGTCACATCTAAGCTGTTCGGCTGTCGGCTGGGCCATCAACCAGGTTTATTTTTATTAAAAGTGACTATCAGCAGTACCAGCTGTGAGGATCTTTCTCCCCTGTGCAAACACAAAGGTCATTGTAAAAACAGGGAGGGATCAAGTCCAAGTATTTTACCATCTCATGGGAACAACTGGTTGGACCAAGAACATAAGTGCTTGCAAGAACCAGCAGGCACTTGTGCCCAAGTCTGATGGGACTGGGGAGAGCAGGGGAGAACATTACCAATAAATCCCAGCTGAGAAAACTCCAGGATCATCCACTCCTCAGAGGGCTGCTGCAGGGCAAAGTTCTTCATCGTGCTGAGATAGTTTGGTTTGGCCACGATATCATCCTCCAGCTGCAAGAGGAAAGGACACTCAGTGCCAATCACCCATCCAGGTTCCAGTAAGAGCCTCTCCGTGCAGAGCAATCACGCCGTAGACCTGAGGAAAGCTTTGGCACAGACCTAGTTTATTTTGGAAGATGCTCCAAGCAGATTTTTCTCACCCAATCTAACAGGTAAATGAAACAAGGATTCCTGCCCTCCCTAGGCAAGAGCTCTCCAAGTCTAAAGCATCTTAGAAATCTAGCTTTTGAACCTATCTGGTTAAAACCCGCTCCCACTCTGCTGCGTCACACAACGGGACACGCTCTTTGTCCTCTCTCAGTGGGGTACGAGCCACAGTGAGCTCACAGGTTCACCCATCTCCCCTCTGCCCCCAGCACCAAACCCACCTGCACGTAATATATGCCTTTGGACTGGGCATACATCATTAAAAAGCAGTAGTCGAGGTTCTGCTTTGTCCTCCACCTGCAAGAGACAAACACAATGGGAGCACTGATCTCTCCTGGGATACCCGGCGGCTTGGGGGAGCCAGCCGAGGCTGGGCTTAAGCCAGGCAGGTGACACAGCTCCCGGAGGAGCAGATGGCATACAGCCTCTCCCTTTTGGTCTCAAACTGGTCAGCTAAGAGTTACTAGAGAACTCAGGGACTTCCAAAATTAACATCATCTGGGTTAAAATGTCCTCTTCATTTGGTGATGGAAACACCGCAGCACAAGGCAAGCCCTGCAAAGCTGGAGCCAGTTCATACCCCCTCACACACCACATCTTCTCAGCTGTTGGATAAAGCAAGTTTAAGGGCCTCGCCTGGCCCTGCAGAAGAGTTTTTCCTGCTGGAATCAGGGAGGGAGATGCTGCAGTTACTTAAATCAGGGCTTGCTTGTTTTTAAGCTCATTGATTCTTACCTGACTCTTTCCTTGGGGTCCCCAAAGGATTCTCGTAAGCGGGAGAAATCAGGATAGAAATGCGGAGATGGGGAAATTACCTCCAGGAGACCTGAGTGTATTTCCTTTGGGAATCTAAGGGAGAAAAGCAGCAGTAAACAAATACCTCCATGTCTGACACACCATTTCATAGCCCGAATCGCTGGGTAAACACTGAGCCGCAGAACCAAACAAAAAACACAGCCTTTAGGAGAAACCTGCCCCAGCAGCCAGTGCACTTGCAGGCCTCATCAAAGGACATCAGCAGGGACTGCCACGGAGTTTTAAAGCTGCTCTCTCCCTCCCATGGTCTCTAATAGCCCTCAGCATCCCTCTTCCCTCCCGCACGCACACATGGGTCAGCTTTGAAGACCAGCCACGAGCACCATGTACTCTCTACAGGATTAAATGGACCCGCAGGCTGGCGCACCAAAGAAAGGACTTGCTGGCGTTACCGGCTTTTAGAGATTTTCCAAATGCATCAGTAATTAAAAACCATTTTGCAGAGATTATGTTACGCATTTCTGATCAGTGACTTAAAACACTGTTGTGCTGTAGTTAGGACAG